AGGATCACAAGTCTGCATCTTGTACAGCAATTAACCACTAAGAAGAATATATGCAGTGTATTATTTGTTGAAACTGTACTTCTGATTTGATTTGAAACTGTCTCATTGCTGTTTATCAATAAAACTTTGAAAAAAAAAAAGAAAAAAAAAAGACTGGTAAGCTTTTTGGTATTGTGCTAGGAGCTGACCTCAGGGTTTGGCCACTGAGCTATATATTATCAAAACTGAGAAATTTTACTATTTAGTAAATCTTCACAAAATATCCAGAAGCTCCAGTGGCGCAATCGGTTAGCGCGTGGTACTTACATGACAAAATATCCAAAAACTTGCCTTATCTCCAGGCAATACGGTACTTTCTTAAAGAATATTTTACTTAACGTGGACATCAAGTAGATTACACTAGACTCTAGACAGACTAGGAGCCAGGGGACCAACTTCTTTGGTACTGGATTTCTTACCAGCTCTGCAGGTGTACAGTAGTGAAGAACACTAGACTACTAGTTCACTGACTGTCATTTAATCAATTTGAGAACCTCAATTTTCATCTAGTTAAAGTAAAGTCAACATCACCTCCATGTGCAGTTTACAAAACAGAAAAGTGAGAAAGCTGGTATAGAAACATATATTGTCACCACCAGTAAAAAGTTTCTCAAGGCAGACTTAATCAAATGATTTGAGATGTAATATACATTTTTGAATATGAAAATTTTAAAAAATAGCACCTATGATAAATTTTGAGCTTAGATTAAGTTTTGTATCCTACAACACCAAAACAAAATTTTATTTTATATATATTTATTTATATTTTTATTATACTAAAAGTTTTTCCTTGAGTAGTGGGTAAGCTAAAGACTCATCAAGGGAATTTTGATAGCTGCCCTGAAAGACTATTTCTTTTTTTTTTTCATGTATTTGGTACAAGGTCTCACTATACAGCTTGGACTCACAGTGATCCTCCGTTTTCGGCCTTCCCAGTGCTGGGATTACAGGAATGTGCCAGGCTGGCACAACGTACCTGGGGGCGGGGCTGGCACAGCATGTGGTGCTGAAAGGCTAATTTTAATTACTGACCAAATATAACCTTTTATAAAGATTCAAAAGAAAAACCTGCTTTAATTTGAGGCAACATGATTGCCACAAGCTTGAAGCCAGCCTGGGCTACATAGTGAGCTGAAGGCCAGTCTGAAATACCTAATGAGATTCAGTTTTTTTTTAAAACAAGATTTGAAGACCAGGAATTTAGCTCAGTGGCACAGTGCCTACCTGGCAAGTGTGAGGTCCTGAGTTCAATTCCCAGTAACCCCCCCTTCCAAGATTTGAATATAGTGGTTTAAAGGAAATACTCTTAGAAAATATTTAGATGGGGCCGGGGAAATGGCTCAGTGGAGTACGCGCTTCCCTGGCAAGCGCAAGGGCTTGAGTTTAATCCTTGGTTCCACCAAAACAAAACAAAACAAAATATTTAGATAAAATTTTATAAATGAGTATTAGAAAAATATAAATGACTCAGAAATTAATTAGGCAGAGCTCAGTGGCCAGTGTTCGATCTCTGCTGTGCTGTGCCAGCCCTGCCCCCAGGGTGCACTGAGACAGCGATTGAGACTGGGCACGGTGGTATGTGCCTGTAACCCCAGCACTTGGAAGGCTCAAAGCAGGAGAATCACAAGTCTAATCTACATAGTGAGACACTGTACACCCTGTAGACCCTTTCCTAACATCTTAAAAATAAAATAAAAAATAAGTAAGTCAAGTGGAAATTAAACTGAATGATTAATGTTAAAAAGATAAACTGGCCCAGGTTACAGGTTAGCTGCACAGCACCAG